TATATTTTCTATACGAAGGAACATGATATTATTATATCTAGATTAAAAATCATCTATTTTTGTGATAAAGGAAGATGAGTATCACTGGTTAAACTTGAAAGAGAAAGAAAGGAAATTGAGACTGAATCTCTTATTGTCATCACAATCATTTTCAAGGCTGCTTAATTTAATTGTAAATCAAATATAAATACCATCGCCTTTATTTTTTTTTATAGATAATTTCATTTACGTTCACGTTCAAGTGCTATGCCAAAAGGTGTCACTTTTTTCCAGGTACAATACTATGGTAGAAAGCAGTGCTGATGTAAAAACAACATCAAAGAAAGTCAGTCTCCGTCTGGTAAACAAGTGGGCTAAACCAGGCAAGTTCTTTCCTGACACCATGCTGAAGGAGGAGGGGGATGTGAAGCCAATCCCAGACATCAGCAGCGATAAAATGCCTCGTAAGGTCATCTCTGCCACAATCCATCGCCTCAAAATTACCGTTTTTGAGTTCGCTCAACTCAAAGAAATATTACAGGCAAGCAACGATTCGAGTACGGAGAGCATGTTCTTGGACGCTCCAAATGAGCGCTGCGTAGGCTCTGTCCAAGCTATCCTAGGTAACAATGAGCCCGAGCACGGTTGCCATCCACTTTTCAAAATCTATTTTATGTTTGATTATATAATAACTAAAATAGATATTTGCAAAGTAATAACAAATTAAATTATGAATGAAAAATATTTTTTTAAATTATCTTTTTTATTTGAGTAGTTTTTTTAACAAAAAAAAAACGACTTTCTTGTTAATAGCATGATTTATTGAATAAAAAATAACAATAAAAAAAAATATTTGTATAATTATTGAATTAAAAAATAATCAAAAAATTGATTTTTTTATTCGTGTATTTTTTTTAAATGCTTATTTTTGTGAGAAGCCTTGTTTTTTAGGTATAAACTTATTATGATTGTCAAAACAAATTTTAATTAAATTTTTTTAAAAAAATCATTAATCAATAATTTTTATACACCTATATAAAAAATATAAAAATGATAAATTTTTAATATATATATTTAAAATTAACAATAAAAAAATAAATATTTTATTCTCATGAGTAAATTGTTATAAAAAAAGTCATATTAGGCTAATACATAATTATTCTTAAAGCAATTATTAGTATAATATTTTTAAAAAAATATTATTTTAATAAATTGATTTAAAGAGAACCTTAGTAAAAAGGAGATATTTAACAAAAAGGCTAGAATTAGTTTTTTTAATATAATAAATAATGTGTTGCCTGCCTGTTGTTTTCTTGTTAAGATTTTTATAATTGATGTTCAAGTCTTGGATTTTTAGACCCTCAAAATCTAATTTTTAAATTATTTTCATTTAAAAACATCTAAAAAATAAAAGGAATTTAAAATAATCTTATTTTCAAAAAAAAAATCCTTTAATCACTTGAAATATCAAAATCTAAGTGAATCAAAATCAATTTTATGAGTTTTTATCTAGTTTTTATGGGAAACACCATTTACATTGAATTTTTTTTTTTTAAGGTGAATCTATTAATAGTAATATTGGTTTTTTACGGTTAAAATATAGTCGAAAGAATACTTTCTTTTCTTTTCTTTTTCAGCAGTTTTTTTTATTTCTCAACATTGAACCATAAAAAAATAAAATTTAGGATTAAAACAGATAATAAATTCAAGCGACCGTAGCTGTATAAATTTCAAGGACAAAAGAATAAAAGTAGCAATTAACAGTGTAATTATTTAATAATCCACTAAAGAAAGGTGAAACGTTGCTTGTTTTCTTTTAGTTTGTTTATAATTATGATGTGGCTGTTCTTACAAATGATCAAACACTTTAGTGTCTAGAGATCAAAAAGAGATCATGATCGGTTCAATGGAGAGAGAGTCACAAAAGTCAGTATATTGTCACCAAAATTTGTACCCTTACCGGCTCTGTTACCGTCATTCTGTTCCTGAAGTTCGGGTGAATGAAGCAGAAACTTCAGATGCCAATGACAAAGTCTGGCCATTTGCCCCTTCGATGCATCTGTTTTTTAATACGTTTTAAAAGTTGAAATCATGAATTGACTTGTAAAATCGTAATATTGAAATCGAGAAAATCAGGTAAAAATCGTGATTTTATTGCACGATTTTATAATGAATTCGACTAATTTCTACACAAATTCTCACCCTCCAAACACCCCCTGAGAGTCTGACTACTGTTTAAATCTAAAGGCTAGCAATGAAGAGAATGAGGGATAGATCAATCGCAATGAAGCTACAGATCGTTTTCACATTAATGTCTCTTTCTTTCGGCTAGTTTTCGTCTTGATGGTGGCTGGTCCAAATGCCACCACAGTTCCCGTCAACACTCCCATACCTGATCCTCCTCCCTCTCATCTTCTTCTATACCTACTCCACCTCCCTCCTCCCTCACTCCACCACCATCAGGTCTCCTCCATGCAATCTCTCTAGAGTCAACTGGGTACCAGACCTCGCCAACTTCACAAAACCTCTTTACGAGGAGCCGTGCCCATTTCACAGAAACGCATGGATTTGCCTTAGAAACCAGAGAGAAAACACGGGTTTGATTAATTCTTGGTGATGGGTGCCTAAAGATTGTGACTTGCCAAAGATTGATCTGAGAGGTTTCTTGAGTAAGTGAGGAAGAGGAATATTGGGATTGGTCGGGATTCTTTAGAGAATTTCTAAGTTTCTTTTTTGGCGTCGTCTTAAAGATGCTGATGGCCGTGCAAAGAAGTGGAAAAGGAGAGGACCTTGGGGAGGTGATTATTTCCCTAAACACAATGACACTGTTGCCTATCATCGGGCACTGTTGCTTGCCACATATGAACAAGTTTTCGTTAACCTCAACAATTGTCTGGTTCTGTTTACTTTGTCACTTGGGTTTTCTCCTTGGTCGATGATGCATAGTGATTTTTTTTTTTTAACTAATTGTAGTGATTGAATTTAGGGATATTTAACCGAAGGAATAGACTATGGACATGTATTTCAAGCTGCTTAAAAAAATGTTGATGGAGTTGTTGAAGAAATTGCTTATGGTGTTGTAGAGACCATGTATGGTAATAAATTTACTTATAATTTTATAATTCATTAAAAAAGTGTTTTTGATAACTTACTTGAAAATGCATTAACTTTATATTTTTTTTAGTATTGTTTTTATAGTTTTGATGTATTAATATTAAAAATTAAAAAAGTATTTTTATATATTTTAAAAAACACTTAGACCATACAAAACAAATTACACCCACGCATGTTTTTGTAGCTTTAGGTTCAGGACTGGGGAAGACTGAGGCAGTCGATGGATTTTTAGAAATGATATGATTAGGACACTTGCCGATGATGCTTAGGCATGTCCTTGAAAAATTTGGATTTTCTGACAGTCTGGCAAGGAGTTATATTAAATAAAAATATAAAACACCTGGGCATTTTATAATAGAAGGCCCAACTATTCAACCAAACACAAAACATTATGGACAATACTATGTTTTTTTTTTCAATTTTTTTTATATGATTTGATTATAATTAAACATTAATTTCTTCTGATTTCTCAATTAATAATAAAATTGAAAGAATAGACACCAAAAAAAAAGACACCAAGCATGAATAGTGTGTCGAAAAGTTTCAAAAAAATATAAATTTTGACCTCCAAACTTTAAAAATTATGTAAATTTTTAAATTTTAGTACTTTAATCTTTTTCTATTCAATTTTATTAAAAAAATTATTTTTTGTTATTTTTTAGTAGTAAATAAAAAAATATTATCGACACCAATTTAAAATATTAAAATAGTTTATGTTCGTGTCAAATAGTTCAACTTGACGAGTATAGTTCATTTTATATATTTCTTTTTTACTTTGAAACTTGTCGAGTATAGTTCATTTTATATGTTTTTTTTTTACTTTGAAAGTTTATGAAAAAATAGATCTGAACTCAAATTTTTTTGAGTTGATTTTGATTTTTTTAGTGGTTTTTTTTATTATTTTGAGATCATTGATAAATTTATCATAATTTTTTAAAGTATTTTTAATAAAAAAATTGGTTAAAAAACAACTTTCTAAGTAAAAAACCCTAGTCTTGATTTCCCAACTATTATATTTAAACAAATCAAACAACATGTTTGTTTTTTTTTAAAACGAAACTTTAAATACAACCCACAAAAATAAAGATCTAGTAAAGCAGGGCTTTAATAAAATAGACTAGGTGAGTGGCCTGGTTTTTCAGCTTGATCTTTATTTATTTTTTATATTTTAAAATTAATGTTTTTCCTACTCATCATGATTTTTTTAATCTTTTGTACAAATAAATTTTATTTTTAAAAATAAAAATTATTCTTAGATAATATTTATAATATGTACAGAATTAAATGTTATTTTTTTTCAATCAATTTAATTTGTATTTGTATTTTTATTATCATTTGATTATTTTCTTAAATATTCTTAAATAAAATTAGTTTTTTAATTTGAAAAAAGGAATATGACCCGTGGCGAACGGACAAAGTATCTAGGATAAATTATTTGACGACCTCCCAATCATCTCGTGAAACAATCCTGTCCATCCATCATGGATATAATAAATTAATGAAGACAACGTCTCCAACAACTAGAGTTAATTTTTTACTGGTACAATTGTTTTCTAGGAAACTCCTTTATTTTTCGCTAACTTCTACGATATTGATTTACATATGTTTTAATCTTAATTTTTTTAAAAATCATGATAAGATATTTATTTACAAATACATTTTTTTATGATATTTATTTAGATTCAAGCACCGAATAGCAATTTCTTGTACACATAGCATAAGCCGTCAAATAAAATGAAAACGTGTAGTATATTTTTAATTAAATATATTCGGTTTAAGTTAGCACGAGCAATGTCTATACTGTCACCAGCACCGGGTAAAGAACCAATCAGATAAAAGAAAATCACGTCAGCATACGTCCGTTAAACTAGTAAACGACACACTCACGTAAAGGGAGCAACGAGAATCGTTCGTGCCTGGCAAGCTGAAATCGAAGGGGTAGCAAAAATAAATAAAACGTTGAAATTTCCACTGAGAAAAATTGATTAATCTTGAAAATTCTTGCTTACTTTCATCTACCCGAATATTAAAAATAAATTCCTAGCTATAACCCCCATCTCACCCCCCCCCCCCCCCCCCCCCCCCCCCCCCCCCCCCCCCCCCCCCCCTGCCTCTAGCATAGCGCGTTGGTTCGATTTTTAGGAAATAGAAGAATATTTCGTGTGAAAGGTAATTTAAGTTTGTTATGCAATTAGCTATTTTGATTTTATTTCCTTCTTCTTTTTTGTGGTTTTATTAATGGAATTGTGTTTGGATTTTTTTTAATTAAGGTTTATTTCCATTTTTTTTTGTTGTTCACTCAGTGTACTTGTTGGTTTATTGAAATTTGTTTAGGTCTAGGGTTTTTAATTTACGACTTGAATTAGAAAGACCTAAGCTTGGAATTTGCTTATTTGTATTTAACAGAGCAGTGAATTAAATGAAGGGAAAGGGATTGTCGAGAGATTGTTCTTGGCGTAGAACTCGAACAGGGAAGAAAACGATAAGGGGCCGTGAAGGTCAAGGGAGTCTTGATAATATTGTTGTGATTGATGTTGATAGTGATGAGTTTGAAAACGTTATTATCGTAGATGTTCCAGAGTCTTCACAACAGAAGCTAAGAGGTTCTAGTGCTGCTAGAGAAGGAAGAAGATCTCCATGCATAATAAGCGTTGATGATGATGATGATGATGGCGACGACGAAGACGAAGACGATGAAGAAGAAGAAGAAGATGAATGTTATACATGACGAAGACGATGAAGAAGAAGAAGAAGAAGAAGAAGAAGATGAATGTTATACAGTGGATGATCATGAAATTAATGAGCAAGTTGATGGTAACTTGGATAGTGATGGCACTTCTAGTGCAAGCAGTCCTGCCTCTGATCATATCGAGAAACCTGTTCACAGGGCTGCTGATGGTTGTCGAGTTGCTGAGGAGAATAGACCTGTGTTCAAGCTGAGAAAGTGCAATAGAACTTATCCTGAGAAAGCTACCTCTAGAAATCGTTATGGTTTAGATTCAGATGCTGAGAAAGCTACCTCTAGAAATCGTTATGGTTTAGATTCAGATGCTGAGAGTGATTCGTCTGAAGATAATACCTCTGATTGTGAAGTTATGGAAGGTTCTTTTGGAGAGGTTCGTGAACAGTGGGAAAAGGCTTCCCTAAAGAGAAAATCCATGCGCTGTAAAGGTCTGGATGATCAGGCTAGTCCATGCAGTTCTCACAGTGATGTTCATCCAAATGTTGAAGTAGAAAACAAGACCAAACAAAATTCAGAACCTGCTGTTTGCTCTAGTTCAAAAAATGCAAATTTTGGGAAAGTAAACTCTTGTGCCTCCAATGATGCTGGGGATGGAGTTTTAGGTGGTTTTCCTGCCAGTGCCAAGATGGGAAACCCTTCTGCAAAATGTAATCAGAAAGGCAAAAGCTTTTCAGGGTCATGGAAATCGAGAGCAGATGAGAATATTCATTTTCATTGGACTGGTGATGATCTTTTTGGAGGAGAGACATTCACAGGTGATGGTGATATTTCCTGTAACAAGTGTCGAACTGTAAATGGCCCTGGCAGTAAGGTTCCTCCAGGACCTTCTTCACAGTCCTATCAAGTTAAGGATGATAAACAATATCATGATAGAACTTGTTTTCATGATATGGAACAAAACACCACGACAGATCATTCTTTTCCAAATACCCAAAGAGGGCCTAGCTTGTACTCAGATGATGGGAAAGCAAGTTATTTGAATGTCAATAACTCTTTGCCTGATGGTCACCATTTTGATGAGATACATAATGTTAATAACAGTCAAATTGGTTCAAAGGATGAAGGTAAAGAATTTACTCAGGTGCCATCTAGTTGCAAGACTTGTTCTAATGATGGAAGATGCAGAGAGAAGTTTGTGTCTTGCACTCAATCATCTGAGGATAAAGTGGTTGAAAATGTTGTAGCTCCCTCATGGATTACAAAAGAAGTCAGTGATGAGAAATCTGATCACAATGAAAGAGCTCCTGGGGAAAAGTCTTCACAATGTCATGACACACTAAGTAAGCGAGGGATATCAAATTCTGCAGAAGGAAAGGAGGCGTTTACTGATTTTGCATCCAGCAGTCAACTTTGTTATGAAAGGGACCCATTATGTGCTTCACATGGTGATCTTTTGCTTTCTGCCGAAAGAGATATAATCAATGAGCGAGAAAAGCTCAAGGAGACTGATGAATACAAGCAAGCAATAGAAGAAGAATGGGCTGCTAGACAGCGACAGCTACAGATTCAGGTTTATTCATAAATTAGTACTTTGATTTGTTGCTGATCATTGTGCTGTGCAAACAAAACATTATTTTATTAATAATTATACACGCATGTAAGATTGAGGTTGGTCTTATCACAATCATTGTCAATTAACTTCTATTACATTTACATGTTTTCTTAATGCACTTTTGCGATTATTTCTTTTTCCATGTGAGTGGAGTTGTGGTTGAGTTGGAAAAAATCAGGTTGGGTTGAATAGCTAGTTTCTGCCCCACTTTATTTTTTTTTTATAAAAAAAATCCTTTGAAGACCACATCTTTGAAACCTCCAGACACTTTAAGCCATGCTTTTGGTGCAAACCATGATCTCCGATTTGCTTTGGAAGAGATTCAAGTTGATTTTTAGTATAAAAGATAAACATCTGGTATTAAATGACTTTAGAATGCTCATAAGTAAATGAATATTTCATCTCATTTGCAATTTGTTGTTCCTTCTCAGGCAGAAGAGGTTCGGAGATTGCGGAAGAGAAGAAAAGCTGAAACTTTGCGTATTCTGGACATGGAGAGAAGGCAAAAACAGCGCTTGGAAGAAGTGAGAGAGACACAAAAGAAGGTTTGATTCCACATATTCTCTGCTTGCATTTATCTATTCAGCATTGCACGTGTTGACATCAGTTTTTATAAGTCCTTACCTGTTCTCTGATGCCAAATTTAGGACGAGGAGAATTTGAACATGAAAGAGAGATTTCGTGTCAAAGTAAGGAAGGAGCTTTATAGATTGGAGGTTACATGCTTTAACATGGCATCATTACTTCGTGGCTTGGGAATCCATGTAGAAGGTGGCTTAAAACCCTTGCCAAACCAGGCAAGTCAAATTCCAATGCACTCTGATTATACCATCTGTTTCTGAATCATATCAATACACATGATGTGAGTGAAGTCTTGGTTACTTGTTGAATTGATCCATGTTTCCAATGGTCCTTGCATCTTCCAACTTCACTTTTACTGAAGGTTATGATACAGAAACCTGAATTGATGGCGTTCCATATTGTGCTTCTATATATTACCTTAAACTAATTGGCCTATAATGATCCTCTGGCAATGGGGTTTTATATATATATATATATATATATATATATTATATACATGTATTTTAAGAATAGATCCCATGTGTATTAGATCTCATTCTCTTGCAAGCAGCCTTAGAGAAGTGGCCACCGAGACACCATATATTGTTTGATTCCGTGCATGTCTATATCTTTTAATCCCGTTTAACTGTGATTAGTGGTCATTTCAGGTGCATGCAGCTTATAAGCGAGCCTTGCTAAAATTACATCCTGACCGTGCATCAAAAACTGACATTCGTCAGCAGGTTGAGGCTGAGGAAAAATTTAAGCTTATTTCTCGCATGAAGGAGAAATTTTTGTCCACTTCATATCACTGAGTTGCAATAAAAGGTTAAAACACGACTAATTTTGTTCATTTGAATTGCTTCTCACTTGAAACGTGCAGAATCCTTTTTATGGTTTTCATCATTCTGTTGCCAGTCTGGCGAAGAAGGAAATCATATTTGTGAAGCAGTTATAATATTATGTGATCAGAGAAATTACTGTCTTAGAGTGTTCTTTCCACATCTTATGGGTCTGTTAAGAATAGAGTTTGTAGCAGTGTGTCAGTTTTTCAAGGAGATTACTTGTGTCTATACCCAGTGGTGGTAATTTTTCATTTTGCAGTTAGCTTAGTTTCAATTCATTGATGCTCCTGATTAAAATTTTGTATAATAATTATAAATTTTTTTTGCGAATGCTGCTCTACTTCTGCAGCTTTTTTACATCCAAAGCTTGGTGCATGTATGTCAGCAAGATGGACCTGGTGTTTAGCTTTGATGGAATGATATGGACTTGAGATGAAGTGTTTAAGTGATGCCATCGGGACTGAGGTAGATCTTTGATTCATTTTTTACAATGTAAAATAAAAGATCAGCTTGTTAAACTAAATGTGTTTATGATTCAATTTGTGTTGAAAATATTATACTTTCTGTAGCACCTAACAGTTTACACTGTTGTGCAAGGAAATTAAACAAACAGTCGGAAGTGTTACCATATAGTAAGTTAAATAAACGTAAACTTATGTATTGGTATCTGGAAAATCAGGAGTTGCAAATGTAGGATAAATGTTGTATCCATCGAGCTAACTTGGTTAACTCAGTTTATTAAAAGTACTCAAATTAATACATGAAATTCTAAATTTTTTCTGCTTGTTTAAAATATTATCATTGTTTAAGTATTTATGTATTTTTTGTTATGAAAAATATAACTTGGTCTGTGACGTAGCATAAGCCACCCTGAAGATATTCGAGCACGTCCGTTCTAGCTCTCTTGCAAGAAGGACAGTCCTAGTAAGCTAGCTCGCGGTTGTTTCCCGCCCCGCAACGTAAAAAGTCTTGCACTCATCAATCAGATCATTTTTCAATATCTTCTTGCTCTTATCTTCATCCTGATATGCCTCTAGAAGTTGGCCGAAGAAATCATGTCCGTAACCATCCAGTTTTCCTGAACTTGCCTCTTCCTCTCGTCTTTGCATCGTTTTTATGAAGTCTTCGATGCTTCCTTCCAGATACTTTGTCTTAATGAATCTTCTGCTACAGCAGATAACTCGAACAAGTTGTTCAAAGAACAGAACTTTGTACATGGAAAATAACGCGAGAGGATGCTTTTGTTTCAATTGTTTTATAATTCCGTTCTTTCTTTCTAGAACTGCTTCAAGACTATTAGGTCTCATTCGGGAACTGTTGGATTACGTACCTACCCCATCTTTGGTGTTGAAATTCGATAACTATTTCTGTATATAACAAGAATAACCCTCATTAAACCTTGAGGAATAGTTTAATTGGCCAAACTTTAGTTTAATTGGTCAAACTTTGGGTTTGTTTCAAGTGTTTTTATGAGCATTAAATTGTTATATAATCATTAATTTTATAACTCATATAATTTGTTGAAATACCTGTAAGCTGATACTGATATTTATGTTAATAATAATAAAAAAGAATAACCCTCATTAACATATAAAAAAAGCGTTGTCCTTAAGTAGCTGCTTCCAAAAGCTGTCCTGGAGATTACTTCGGATGTCAAAGCCTTAATTCTTGGAATATATCAATCTCCTTTCCTTCATATTGATGCCTCCATCTTTCAAGCATCGCACCCTCACCTGCTGAAATTACTGGAATCATACTCTATAGACAAAAACAACGTGAGATTTTTTTAAAAAATTAATTATATATCAGCTTCATGAACATTGCAAAAGAAAATTTAAAGCAAGAATTAATTTAGTCTGAAACTCTCTGCACGGAACTCATGGGTGGCCAGTTTCCTCATCCTAAACCACTTGTCACCTTCTGACCTTGCAAGCCCATTCCCTAGGTGTACCATGCCAATAAAAGAAGTTCTTCCATACAGAATTTTTTTTCACAGATAATTGATAGGATTATTGGTAGTTTATATATTTTTCATAGGGAAATTAAGTCCTTATATTTTTATGTGATTGTAAGCTAGTCCCTTGTTTTACATTTTTTATGACTCCTATATTTTAAACAAGAAAGTCATTAGAGTTTAACTATAACTTAATCTTTATAGTTTAATGAAAGTAATTAGTTAATATCCATAGTTTCAGAAGCTACATGTTTAATCCCTACATTTTCAATCTGTTTATAACCCAGTCCTTCCGTAAATTCCATGCTCTTTTCAAATTTGTGTTTTTTTTTTTTAAAAAAAAGGGACTAAATTGAGGCGTTCAATGTTATCAATGGGCTATAATTAGTCCTGATACTACAATGACCAATTAATTTGTTACAAAAAACTACAGGGACTAAGTTATAACTAACTCCAATCATTATATATATATATATATAAAAGAGAAGATTGTCACCGTAAAGCTTCATCCATGCATAAATGTGAGGTTGGATCATAGGAAACAGATGATGTGATAATTCATGAGCACTGTTCTTTGTTTCATTTATCAAGTTGATAATCTCTTTGGTATTCCCTGACAAATTGTATTCCGTTGTAGAAATTTGTAACAAGGTCCTTTGATTCCCTGTGGCTTCTTCCGAGACTGAACAGGAGTTGGGTCCACCATACTTCGTTAAACAATTTGATGAGAATTGTGATCAAGTATAAACACAAATAATTTGAAAAACATGGGAATACGGTCAACTATCAAACTCAAACTCAATGAATTGAGGTTTAGCTATGAATTAAATTCCAATAAATATAGATCTAGTAAGTGGTTTTATTCAATATTTCTGAACTTAGATATATACTAAATGCAAGTATATATAAATTTTATAAATTACCAAATCAAATATTATTAGACTCAATATCATGCTAATAAATATAAACTAATAATCTTTCTAAATCTGTATTAACCTGTAAGATTTTATTTGTTTATTATTGAAACTTAACATAATTTATTAAGCTCAATAATATTCATCGTATAAAAGTCTTTTAAGTATTTATAATTTTTTTTTATTAATATTAATAATGTGTAAGAGATATTTATTCTTTATTAATATTATAAAAAAAATTATTTTTAAGTTTTTTTTTTCTATAAAAAAACAAGACTCATGATATATATATCTTATGAATCTTTCAAACTCGAGGTTTAAAATTTATATTCTTTATTGTAAATATATTTTAGAGTATTTCTCTCTAAAAAAATATTGCACCTTTTCTTTTAAAAAATATTTATTTAAGCATTTAAAAATCTTTAAATCCATTAAATATAACTTTTTGTTGGTACCAGTCATCAACTATCTTGATTTATTAGGTATTAATTATCTTAGTTTAAAAACATAAGTCAGATTATTAGAACTAAAAAATTAATTATTCAACTCTCAACTCTTAAACCTTGATTTTAAACTAGAAGGATTTTTGCAACATCATCGTATATATCTACACAGACTACATTGCAGTAATGTGTAGAGTTTCGGTCGAATCTTTGGATTATTGTTCTTTTCGGATGAGAGAAACCAGCCAGGATTGAATAGGTCATCTTCTGTACATGGAACAAAAACACAACAAATGCATGCCAACATTTAATCGAAGTTTCGGAATATGAATCTTCATTTTCTTGATAAATTTAGTTTCAAAATCTCCAAAGGTAGGTTCTGAAAACTCATTAGATATGGATTCAGAGTCTTGTCAATAATCTTCGAAGAAGTAACACATTTATGCTCGATTTGCTAATTCCTTGAAGTATCATAAGCTGAAGGTTCGAGACTCCGAGGGTCCCTTCAAATATATATTTTTGTGTAAGAGACAGATATGCGGAGAGTCTCTGTTCATATATATAAATCTTACGTTAAAAAAAAAACTATTGAAAATACTCTTCAATATCCATGTCTAGTAAAGTAGACCATTTGTTTATGACAGAGAAAACGATTGTTGCAGCGAATGATATAGATACTTCAATCTGAAAAAGCCGTCCAAGACAGTATTAAAAACCACCCTTAGTCTTGATTCGAGTTTTATTCAAACTGTTCTCTTAATATCAGCAGGGATAAATTATTATTTATACCTCCTTAAGATTGTAATAAATTATCTTTATTCACGAGAACTCGAAGAACCTGCTTTTTAGATGTTGTATCAAATACCTTCTACATCCACAGACATGGAGCACTAAGCCGACTTGACTTGGCGGGTTATTCATAACCCGTTTGATTCAATTAAAAATATAAATTGATCATAACCCGGTTCACATGAAAAAAACCATTTCAAACATGTTTAGTTTTTTTAAATGATATTTTTTATATAAAATAAAAGAATTAAATTTATCCAGATCAACTTCCGTGAGAATTTTCTCTATCCTGTTAAAAAAACTATGACATGGAGAGATTTCCACGCACCTGTATATATATCATAATGAAATTTCCGGATGTCTTCACAAGTTGGAGTAGCCTGCGTCACCTAAGCAAGGCAGCAAGCAAAGTCCGGTAACAGGATTTGACTTAAAAAAAGGAGCAGCTGGGACAGAGGGGTCAAGATAAAAAAAAAAACTGTGGTGTATATTTCAGAGGGGAGAGGCCTGTGACAGTCGGGATACACGAAGGACATGAGATTTTTAAAATTAGAAGGATGCCACTATATTTTTAAAATATTTTATTATTTTTTGCACAGATCCTATTCAAAATTAAAAATATAAAAAAAATTATAATTTATAATTTTTTTTAAATCACTAAAGTTATTATAATATCATGCACTATGGATAACCCAACCCTTGTTTCACATAGAGCTCGAAGTTTGAGTCTTGGACTAGACCTTGATTTTCTTTTGCAGCTTGAAAGGGTGAATGAGCTTTAAGCATTTATGCTTAAGGAATTTCTAAATGCACAATTGTAATTACAGGTAAGTTTCGAAATCATTCTCACATACTAGAATATGTTAGATGAGCAAGTGACTTGATAATGTGGTTTGAATCAGTTGTCAACTCATAAGGGTTTTTTTTAGTTCTTATTCGGGATGGCAATGGGCGATGGGGGATTTCGCCTCCCCTGTACAATATGTTAGATGAGCAAGTGACTTGATATTGTGGTTTGAATCAGTTGTCAACTCTTAAGGGTATTTTTTAGTTCTTATTCGGGATGGCGATGGGCGATGGGGGAGTTCGCCTCCCCTGTGCTTTTTACCTTGTTCTCAAGCAGAACAAATCTTTTCCGCAAACCCTGATACGGCAGGGTTGCCGACTTGCTGGGTGTGGACCAAGGATATACCGTCTCCAACCTCAAAAAATCCATTCCGATTGAGGAGTGAGGCACAAGTTAATCAAGGCAGACAAAATTTGCCACCTCTCGCTAGTTGTTCTATATTTTGGCCTTGAAATATTGACAGAAGTTAAAAATATGTTTCTTTTAGAAAAGATCTCTGAACTGATGGATTTTTTATTCTTCCTCCATCTTTACCGAGTTATCTGATGAGTTTCTTGTAGGGAAAAAAAATACTGATAAAGGAGACTTTTTAAAGCAGAATCAAATATCCTGAAGTTACATTTGGGCAAAATACTAGTACAATATTTCCTCAACCTTCCAGTCGTCATCGTTTCTGTATCTTCGGTGATCATTTATATTTCAGCTAAGTGCTTCGGGACGGAGTGTAGCGTTTATAGATATTCAATTCTCAGTCTTACTGCACAGAAAAGATTGATCTAGCCATCAAACTGAAGGCTTCAATGTCTTGTTATTTGAGACCGATATGTTCACATTTTAGGGAATACAAGAATTATCAGAACAACTTGGGTTCATATGGTTGGAGAATGACTTGAACTCCATGTTGTGGGCACATTGTTAGAACTTCAACTGGGCAGTGGGCATAAGTTGGTGAGAGAGTAAACCTGTAACGTTGCAGGATCATAGAGAGTGCAACCTTTGTTTCTGTAAGTGCAAAGTTCACCCCCACACAAGTTCGAGGTCCCAAACCAAATGGAAAGAATGCAGCAATGTTATTGTTTGTAGCTTTAGCCAACCCTTCTGCAAATCTCTCTGGTTTAAAAAGATGAACATCTCCTCCCCATATTTCAGGATTTTGATGAAGTGCTAAAGTTGAAATGAGGACTTCCATATTAGCTGGAACAGTTATTTTTCCCATTTTAATTTCCCTTTCAACTCTCCTTGTCACAACAGCAGCAGGAGAATATAGTCTTAGAGATTCATTAATTACCATACTCATCTACAAAGAAGAAAAGACAGAAAATATAGTCAAAGAACTGAATCAAATGGTAAAATGTTGCAAAGTTCATAATTTTGGTTAGAAGCCGTGGTGGCATGGTTGCTTACAATTTTCAATTTTGCAATGCTATCTTGACTTGGATTTTGTTGGCCAAATAATTCAAGCACCTCATTCCTTACTTTATCTTGCCAATCTGTGTGAATTGCTAGAAGAAGAACACTCCAGGTAAGGGAGCTTGATGTCGTTTCCTGCCCAGCTACATAAAAAGTCTTGCACTCATCAATGAGGTCATCTACTGATATTTTCTTGGTCTTCTCCGTATGGTGATAGGCCTCTAGGAGCAATCCAAAGAAATCATGTCCATAGCCATCTATATTTCCTAACATTGCCTCTTGCTCTCTTTTCTTCATCATGTTCATGAAAGAGCTTCTTATTGTCGCTTCCAGATTTTCTGATTCAATCTCATCAATTGTCTTAAAAAATTTTCTGCAACAACAAGAAAGGCCATTCATTTGTAAAAAATTATAACCTTGTACATATGAAAAGTGGGAGCCTGAAAATGAGAAAAGTAAAAGATTTAAAAATTCTGGTCAGCCAGATAATTCTCTACAAGGAAAAACTCATTTCAGGCAAGATTATGCCGATGCATGCACATATATGCTGTTTACCCAATTCCAGGAATTCTAATTCTGTAATTGTTTCCTGAAATAATGTGAGCCATCCTCGTTAGCATATCAAATATGTGCTGCCCTTCCAAGTAGCTGCTTCCAAAAGCTGTCCTGGAAATAATTTCTGATGTTAAAACCTTGAACTCTCGAAACACATCTATCTCCTTGCTCTCATAATGTCTCCATCTTTGAAGCATAATCTCTGAACTGGCAATCATTGCTGGAATCATATTCTGCAGAACATAAAAACGGTGCTTAGTAGTTGTTGGTTGAATTACGCTAGGTGGGTAAATTTCATAGATACTTGTGCTGTTTATCTACTTCAGTAGTAGTTTAATTATATATCTGCTAGCTTCACGAACAGTTCAAAACCAAAACAAGAATTTACTTTTAAGCTCCCTCCATGGAAAGCATGGTTGGCCAGTTTTCTCATCTTTAACCATTTTTCACCTTCTGATGTGACAAGTCCATCCCCTAGGAGCTGCTTTACGTAATTTGGGGCCTTTGCTTTTGGGTATGCTCTATCTTTGTTGTTCAATATCTCTTTGATCAGCTCAGGTTCTGTGATGATCAATTGTGGTTGTGGACCGTACCATTGGAGGAAGTTCATCCCTGTACAGAAATTTGTAGTCAAAATTACATTATATAATTCTGCAGACATTTTGTTGATATCAAAAGTTATAATTCATCTAAATTTAAGCAAGGATATTGCTTTTTATCTAAAGTAGGAGAAGATTGTTACCGTAGAGCTTGATCCATGAATAAATGTGAGGTTGAATTATAGGGAATGTATGATGTAATACTTCCTTGGGACTGCTCCTAATTTTGCTTATCATGTTGATGATCTCTTTGGTGTTACCATGCAGGAATCTGTAAGAAGGGCCTTTGATTCCTTGTGACTTCATCGAAGACTGAATGCGAATTGGAGTCCACCACACTTTATGAAAGAACTTGACAAGAATAATGACAATGGATAAGAGTAGACAGCTTGAAAAGTAGAATATTGGGTTCGCCATGACTGCTAGAAGAATGTGTTCTTCACTGACTGAACATAAACAGAGAAACCCTGGTTTTAATATAGAGGGCTTTGGTATCTTGGAATTGTTGTTTGCATGAGAGAAAACTACATTCCCATCTGGCTCTATCCTCTAGACAGGTAGCAAAAACAACCACCACCTGTAGATAGTGAACTGCATTGTAGAATCTATCGAAAAAAGCAGTCCAAGACAACCTGTCCAAAATCACAACCTTAAAGAACTTGCTCGTTTAGCATTTTGCTAGTTTTGATTTTCCTAGAGTTGTCTTCTTCTTCTTTGTTTTGTTGATGACAATTTTATGAACTGGATGAATACTAAATACAAACAGATTTGAATGGATAGATTTTTTTTAATAATTATTTTACTAAATAATATTGTAAAACTCCATTCAAACCTGAACCTAACAAATATACATAATGGATATGCAGTAAATTACATGTAAAAATATTAATACAATTAACAATCCATCTAATTTGTATCAACAATTTGGTCTCTCGTTGCTGACGTGGTGCAATTCATTACCTTAACCATCAACACAGCACCGGCCTTTTGCCGGCAGTCTGTAGACAAATTTCAGACATTGAAAACTACATGAACATGGCGTTAAATATCATGCTTGATGTCATTTATGGTAGCTGTGATCTGAGAAAACTTAGGAAAGTCTTCTCTTTTCTTGTTTGAACAAAACGAAGATGCCAAGACACCAGAAAACTCCTCTCTCGTCTTTTTGTAGACGACAAACAGTACTGTAAGTTCAATTAAGGATGGCTTTATAAGCCTTGCTGTAATCGTTCAAAGACAAATGACTAAAAAGTTAACTATAACATTGTCTCTATAGTTTAGCAAAATCAATTAACTAGTCCCTATGGTATTTCAAATTACATATTTGATCTCTATGTTTTTAAACATTTTATAACTTCTTTTTATCTTTTTTAATTTTCAATTAACCAATCCCATGGTTTTAAAACTGTTGACACTCACACACACACACTTCTCTGAGTTCTCTCTTGTCTTTTTGTAGACGACAAACAGTGTAAATTCAATTAAGGATGGATTTATAAGCCTGGCTGTGATCGTCCAAAGATAAATAATTAAAAAGTTAACTGTAACTTTGTCTCTATAGTTTAGCAAAATCAATTAACTAGTCCCCATGTTATTTCAAATTACATATTTGATCTCTATGTTTTTAAACAATTTATAACTTCTTTTTATTTATTTTACTTCTCAATTAACAAATCTCATGGTTTTAAAACTGTTGATGTGTATATATATTGATGAGATGTTATAATAAAATAGTAGAAGATATTCCGTTTAGCATCATGATTTAATTTAATTTTTGAAAATTCGAGATTATTTATTTATTTTTAATATTCTGATATTTATTTTAAAAAATTTTGTGTTGAGATTAGGACTTTTTTTTTGTTACGGATTGTTTGGGAAAGTTAAGTGAAAGTAAACAAAGCTATTCCACTAAAGCAATTTCGTTTCATTTTACTCAATTTCTCGACTCGCAACAAGATTTGTTAGCCATTGTTTTATGCCTGCTCCTTTTTATGTCTGTGCCTGGTGGTGAATCACTTCTTGAAGCTACTAAACGAATTTACTTTGTTATGTCTTGACTTATTAAATTCATGTTAGAAAAAATGATGATGATCTTAGCATATGCTTTAACGTTCTCACATGAGTGAAGTTTGGTTGAGTGATTTTTGAAAAGATAAAAGAAAATGGTGTATTTTAATCCTACTGAAAGCTAATAAAATTTCATCATGATTAATCAGAGGCCCTTTATTTGTGTAATGTAGTTATCACTGTAGCATAGTTGGCTTTTAAATGTTAAAAAATTGACCCTGAGCTGATATCTGGGTACTGCAGGTTGGTGCGAAGGTTGCTTTCAACAACCTATTAATTGTTTCAAACTGTCTTCTATTATCAGAGCTAGAGGATGCAAGATTAGAATTATGTTCGAATGTACTCACAAACCAGGGCACAAAACAATTTTTTCTCAATCTGGCATGCTGAGTTATGAGGCTTTAAGTTCAGAAATTCTTGACATGCTTCTGTTTATTTGCCATATCTATTTTATAAACCTGTTTACCAAGGTTTATCTCCTCAAAACTTCTTACTTTCGTACAAAGCATATGCAGCTTCATAGAATTTTGCTTGTCTGTGCCTGGTGGTGAATCACTTCTTGAAGCTACTAAACGAATTTACTTTGTTATGTCTTGACTTATTAAATTCATGTTAGAAAAAATGATGATGATCTTAGCATATGCTTTAACGTTCTCACATGAGTGAAGTTTGGTTGAGTGATTTTTGAAAAGATAAAAGAAAATGGTGTATTTTAATCCTACTGAAAGCTAATAAAATTTCATCATGATTAATCAGAGGCCCTTTATTTGTGTAATGTAGTTATCACTGTAGCATAGTTGGCTTTTAAATGTTAAAAAATTGACCCTGAGCTGATATCTGGGTACTGCAGGTTGGTGCGAAGGTTGCTTTCAACAACCTATTAATTGTTTCAAACTGTCTTCTATTATCAGAGCTAGAGGATGCAAGATTAGAATTATGTTCGAATGTACTCACAAACCAGGGCACAAAACAATTTTTTCTCAATCTGGCATGCTGAGTTATGAGGCTTTAAGTTCAGAAATTCTTGACATGCTTCTGTTTATTTGCCATATCTATTTTATAAACCTGTTTACCAAGGTTTATCTCCTCAAAACTTCTTACTTTCGTACAAAGCATATGCAGCTTCATAGAATTTTGCTTGGTTTACCATGCAGTTTTTTGACCACCTTGATAGAATATTAAATACATGTTGCTTGATGTATTAAAACATTTGTTCAGTTTCAAATTTATTTAGGTTTTTCTTAGAATTACAATGGGAATTGAATATTTGATTTTGTTAACTACTGAAACATGAAAGTGGGACTGAAAAGGCCTACTGTTGCATTATTACTGGACTTACAGCTCTATTGTTGCGTTATTACTGTACTTACAGCTCTATTGTTGCATTATTACTGGACTTGCAGCTGTATCTGGAGATCATTTTTCTACAAGCGCAAACTGATATTAGTAGAATCTTCCATCCTTACAGCTCTATTGTTGCGTTATTACTGGACTTACAGCTCTATCTGGAGATCATTTTTCTACAAGCGCAAACTGATATTAGTAGAATCTTCCATCTGGAAATGGATTTCAAGCATCTTCTATCTTTATTACAATTTGGTGTCTTTCCCGTAGATACTTGATCAAAATATGGGATGTTAGTTGGTATCTACAATCATTATTACTGGCAACTGGCCTTTTAAAATATCTCAATTATCCTTAAAGCATGCTATCGTATTAACTTCAACAAAACTAATAGTTTGTGTTGTATGTGCATAAAATGTAATAGCATGGTGATCAATAGCAATGCTAGTATTGTTCACGATCTGTCTTGAATAAGCTATTTGTGGTTGTGGTGACACTGAAACTAATTAAGAAGGAAGTTCTTAAGAACTAAACTCTTAGCATGGGTCCTAGCATTCAGAATACGATGATGCTCGAAATGATTGCATTCTGTGGCTATGAGCACCCTAGTGCAGATGAGATAATGTAATTGGAATAGGAGTCACTATTTTGGATGCAGAATATTTTTTTCACCAGAGCTTGGACCAAGAAACTTTTAGTGTGGGTTGTGTGAGCTTTAAGTGGGTGGTCTCCAGTAGAAGAAATTTAGCTGGGACATTATTTTAGGGCTTCGACTTAAGATTTTTGAAACTGTGCTAAATCCATGGATGATAGTTTGCTCTTCAAGTAGCAGAAACTTGACAAGTGAAGAAGGTATCCTTTGTAGTTTGCGTTATTCTGTTAATGAATTTCTTAATTATGTTAAGGTCTGTCAACGAGGAAACAAAATTTCTTAATTCATTACCTCCAACTGAAAGAGAGGATATTCGTTGTTACAGAAATGCTGATTTTGCTATAGCTACAAATTGCAAGGGTGATTTGGAGATCCATAGGAATGTAGATGGGCTAGAATCTGGCTTTATGTGAATTAATAGTCTGCGGTTTGATAGGCCTTCCGTGGCATTCTCCTGTTACACTCTCACCATGAACTGAAGTCAAAAGCCATGAGAAAAATGTGCAAAATCATCTATGAATTATGTAGAGCAGGGAGTAACGGTAGGCATTGGGCTAGTTCTGTGTCAAGATTTACAACTCAGGTCTAAGAAAAATAGGTCAGGTCTTGAATGCTTTGGATAGAAATTGAATCTTGCTCTCGTTTGTACTTCGTCAATAATCTTATAAAAGATTTTTATCTGTAGTTTTATTGTTCTACATATATCCATGTTAGAAGAAAAGGTTTGAAAGGACTTTGCCTTTCAACGAGTGAATTACCAGTAGTTGAGCTTGGATAATGCTTGCGTGGCGTGTACAGTCCATTTTTGTATTGTGGCTTATTTTGAGATTGACTGTATTACCTAGTGTTTGAACCCGTGAGATTGACCCTAAAGCTGAGGTTTTTAAGATTTTGGTGATTGCAATTGAAGACCTTAGAATGTGAATGCGGAGTGCTCGATTATTCTTCATCTTCTTATCCTGTATCAAAGTTTTACATTCAAAGATGTTTGGCTGAAACTTTGCAACTCCTGATATTTTATGATTGGTAAATACAAAATTCAGTTGATTTTTACAATGTCTGGTATTTCTACTGGACATCCATGGATTTCATCTTATATCAGCGACGACGTTGTAAGTGAGCATGGTCGACACTAGTCAAGGGACCGTTTAATTATATTAACATACACAAAGAAAAAGGGGAAAGGAACGGGAAAGAACTTTTTTTTTTTTTTGGTTGCTTGGTTTTTTTTTTTTCAATTGCAACCTCTTTTTTTTTTTAATCAAATTGACTATTAGTTTCTTATAATTTGTTATAGAAAAACATAGTTAAAAGATATAGGACCAAAGTATTAAAAAAGGCAAAATGTTTGACCAATCTAAAATTAGCATGACAGTTCTTTTTGATCGCTCAATCTTTTTTCCTGATTCATTCCCTTTATTTGTTAAAAGTTTCATTTCAATTTTTATTTTTTCTTATTTTTCAGTCTGTAATTTAAGAGAGAAGAGAAAGATCATCAAATTACAATGATAGAGAAACAAAGTTAT